TTCCCTCTGCGTAGCTGAACAACACGATATTACCATGTATAGATAGCCGAAGATGCTTTGTTCAAGAGAAACTCGATGTTGGCTTTTGAGCGTTTGAACCTCCGCGCGGGCGCGCACGCTGGGGGCCTTGCCGAGGTACCATTTTCACTGTGTTTACCTACGTGTATAACGATACTCACTCCAATGAGTTTGCAGATGTCAGCCTAGATTAAACGTGTTTGAATTGTGAGATGTACGCCCCATGAATCCAATCAATGCATTTGTTCGGTCCGGGTTGAAACTTGAAGACATTTCGACTTCCAACCTCGAATCGGTGAAGCAGCGGCGGGTCATCATCTACACGAAGCAACCTCCCTTCTTTGGCCTTGGGCCTTGGTTAAGTTGGTATATCCTTCACCGCGTTCTTCTCAAAGACTGGCAAGCGAGGTTACCGCTTTCTACGCGATGTGTGTTACCGCGGTTATCATTTCAAGCGTGCAAGAACGCGACCGTGACGAACGCTGGTTCTTCCAGCTCGTGCTTGGTCAGCTGAACTTGTCAACGCCTATCGCTCGAGGCTATCACCGACACGACATCGCTCGTTACTTTGATCCACATCTCTCGGCAGGCTACTGAAACCTCTAGGCTAGTGAGCGGCGCCCGGCCCGAGGTCACATGATCGACGCATATGTGAAGGCTTCTGCAGCTTGTGGAACGACAAGAGTGATCACGCCAACTCACTCTGTGTGACGGTGCTCAAATATATTCGAAAGGTCTATATCGCTTTGCATGGATACTCACCCCACTCACGAGTCACGGCGTTTACCAAACGTTACTGATGGCCCGGACCCAATTTTGGACGATAAGAGATTATACTCCAAGTGCGATAACGAGGACCATTATTCACCAACGGTTCCGCCTTTTCAAATCAATAAGCCATCGTTTGGCGGGCGGGAAGCGCTTGTCACGCCGGGACCAGCTATCCTATGCCAAATACTGTACAATGACATTGGCGCTCCCCATGCCTTCGATCTGGTCCCATCTTCCCGGGTTCAATTCCTTTCAGCGTGCTGCTCGCAGACTCCCGTTACCAAGAGTTCGTTCCGTACGATGTACTATCAGCGCAGCAAGCACACTCTGCACACTATCACATGGCGCAGCAAACTGATTCGAGTCATCTTATTCCGCTTCGGGAGGAAAATGATCCTTCCTTCTCCTGTGGATGTCGATTCTAAAAATGGGATGGAAACGCAAGCACCATGGTCGTCATGCCCTACTAGTGGACTGGCCTTCTCGCTCCCGCTGGACAATAAATCAACTGAATCCACTGCAGAGGATATCCGCTCTTCTGAGGACCAGGATTTAGTAGTCCAAACGGGAATTAGTAGTCCAAACGGGAAGCCGTCTTTATGAGGCATTTTCGTTCTCTAGCGCAAGATCCTTTTTTTTTCATCTCTGGGAGATTATTTCCGCGATGACTGCTGGCTTTCCCCACATGGTCATAGTTTCTGACACGTTTATACCAAGTTGACAGCTGCTTTCGGTTCACCGAATTCTATGTTTTTTTATACCACGTGACGAATCCCCTTGTTTGGTACTATTTACACTTATGAGAGCATGTCCGAGCCCGGGCCCTAAAAAAGGGTATGACCTTCATCGAGGCTCATCCGTTCTCATTCCACCAAGTCACCAATGTTCGAACCTGACCATGCAGCAATAAATTTAGAGGATAGACCTGGGAGGGGGATAGACCCAAGTATGTTATCCCTGACTCCATTTTATTTCCTTAACTTCATGCCAGTGTTCATGACTACACAGGCGGAAATCCTGATGTCGCACACTCAGCACAGCCTCAATCGTCACAAGAACAGCCAACTGGAAACTTCTCTGACGGATCAGGGCCCTTTTCAACATGTACATAAAGATGGCGGCTGAAGAAGACAACAAAATGACCAATCGCTGGCAAAAGGATGCAGACGGCATCCTCATTTTCGTTAGTCCCCAAGTTAGTCTCCACATGCTGAGAGTACTGACCAGTGGGAACATTGTAGACTGGGTTGTTCTCTGCCTCAGTCGCAGCATTAGCCGCAGTGTCGGTACAGGACTTGAGGCCAAATCCACAGGATATCTCGGCATTCTATCTCAAGAATATCTATCAGCTTCTCGCTGACCCGAACATATCTCGAGCAGCAATCCTTGCCACTCCAGCTGAACCACCCCCATTCTCTCCACCGAGATATGCAATCTGGGTCAATTCGTTATGGTTCTGAGCCTGGTCATGAGTCTCACATGTGCCTTCTGGCGACACTGTTACAGCAATGGGCACGCGATTATCTCACTGTCACTCAACCGCCGCGGTACAGTCCACACAAGCGAGCACGGATCCGTGCATTCTTCGCAAATGGTGTAGAAAAGTTCCATCTCCCTTGGGCGGTCGAGACATTGCCGACATTGCTACACCTATCCCTTTTCCTTTCTTTTTCGGCCTCATGATTTTCTTGTCCAACATCAACCACACGCCGTTCACTGTCGTTGCCTGTTGGGTTGGGCTTTCGGCAGGGATATATGGGTGTATCACGTTAATGCCGATCTTTTGTCACGACAGCCCTTACTATGCACCTCTTTCTTCCTCGGCTTGGTTCCTTTTTAATGCCGTGCTATGTGGAGCTCTTTTCATTCGCCGTATTCTCTTCCGCTGCTGCGCCATACTCGGAGCTCCACAAACCCGAATCGACCACGACGCGCACATTCTCCTACTCATATGGGGTCCTTTCAAGATTATGTTTCCAAATGGACCTTAGATGGTATGGTGAAGATAAGGCAAAACAGCGCATTGGAAGTGTCAGAGAAATGGACGGTCGTGTCCTGAAATGGACATTTGACTCTCTGGAAGAAGACCACGAGCTGGAACGATTCTTCGAGGGCATTCCTGCCTTCTGTAGCTCAAAAGTGATCAAGCACCCCAGACGAGTCTTTGAGTTTATTGGACTGCGTAACTGGGATTTGGACAAAGAATTGAGAGGATTCTTGAAGCGTACTTTCTCTCTAGTTGGCTTTCTGAGGGTGTCAGAGAAAGGCGGTTCATACTCTGCATGCAAGTCGCCGATGCACACGGTGTTTCAACTCGACCTTCCGGCTTCCTTGAAGCATGTTTTCACATCGATGGAGTGCTGCGGTCCATTCCATTGGGGCACTTCTCACAAGCCGATGTCATAGCAGCGATCCTCAAACTGCCCTGTCTGCACAAAGGATAATTGCGGGATCATTGCAAGCGTACCGGAACGCGATGATCGTTGGAAGGCTCTCGCTATGGCCTATTTAGGGATATCGGAAGATTTGCTCCGGCATTATCTCGCACACGGTGACAGCGTATTACTTGCCAATCTGATCCACACCGCTCGGCAGTTCGTCCGCTTCTATCGCGAACAGGGTCGGGTGACTTTCTTAGTGGATCGCATGGTGCCAACTATTTCTAAATTCGACATTCGAAATACTCTTCCTGAACTGCAGCACGACTTCTGTGGCTTGTGGAACGAAATCACTCAGGAAGCACACAATCGCGAATCTAACTCTATTTCTCTTTTTATTCTCAAACCCATTCGGCAACTTTATGTCGCTTTACATCAAGGCACAGGTGCTGCACCGACCGCCTTCGATGTTTCCACTGATGTTATGGCACCCCTTTTGTGGCAGCCATCCTCGTACCCATTGTGCAACATCGCGGGTCATCACTCCACTCGTCCTTCCATCTCCTTACTTCCTGCCGTCCCTCCCGCCCCCGTTCTGGACCCAGATCATAGCGCCATCCATCTCTTAGAACAGTCATCTCTGCACGGTGACCGCTCTCCACCCGACAGCATTCGAAATTGTGAGCTTTCGATTGCTACACCCGATTTAACTACAGTCATCGCGACAGAAAATCCCACTGACACCCCGATTATCTTGCCCACCGCCAAATCAGAGACAGCATCACCACCCCTCTCTCCGCTATGCTCCACCCTGCAATCTAGTGATACTGTCGATCAGCAGTCGAACACAAAGTTCCCTCCTCCGTTGGTACCTGGAAATCAGTCATCATCTCCGCATGCGCCAATTCCAGGTGACACGCCTTCAACGGACCCACTGACGTTCTCGGCCTCTCCTGTATTGCAAATTCACCAAACCATTCCTGGTCCTGGCACCCCGACGGCGGCGCTGAGCTCAGTCCCAGCCGAAGAAATCACAGCTCCAAGGGAGACGTCCGTTTCGCAACTCAGGTTGGCGCGGAATGAAGCAACGTTCGATACCCATAACAATTCCCGGACTCAGGAGCCTCCTAATATCGTGGAGGTCCCATTACAGCCAGACCAGCTGGCGATGCCGGTCCTGGACATGCCCATGGATCCTTTGCAGGATTCCCTTGACACAGCGGCGCCCTCCCGTCGCGACATTGATCACCCGGAGTAGAAGCGAGAAAGGTCGCGTCCTGTATTAATGTTTTTAAGGTATCGTGAGTGAGGATGTATTGGATATGTATAAACTTTTTTTGACTCTGAGAGGTGTCAAGGCTCAATCTGACTCAATTTCAGATCACGAAAGCGATCTCAGTTCGAGAAAGCTGACGTCCCTATTGTGTATTCTGTTGTTACTTTCCGTACGCGGCCAGCATCACTAATCCTACATTTCTCTCTTCACAATATGATCCGTACCAGTTTCTTTTTTGTCGCGACGGGAAAGGCGGACATGGGGAAAAGTGGACTCGTTTTGATTGCATATTCCTGAAAGTAAGGGGAAACAGACCGGGGCTGAATGTGGTAGGACATGAAAACGACGAAGCGAGCTCAGGCTAGAGTGAGAGGAGCCGGGTCATGGATGTCACAGAAGAGTGGAGATGAGAGGAACCGAGGGCTAGCGTGAGTTCAAGATGGAGGCGGTCACTCGTCGTCTAACGTGTCCTCCTTCACCAGGTAGCAATTAGTGGGGTTCTAATCTCTGCCTCAGTTGTGTCCATATATGTGGGCAGAAAAAATGCAAAAGTAAACTGTCCCTGAGCGGATTCGAGCCGCTGGCTTCACGGATTTGCGACGAGTTAAGACCTCGTGACCACAACGTGATGATTTAACCACTAATCGACAGGGACTTGGTAAAATATAAATAATTAGACTTATGTTACATGTTGTCCCCGGCCGGGCCGTGTCAATGGCTTGTAGGCGCGGTGACTGGAGCTCAACGTTCAACAGCCAGCAATGTCTGGTCCAACCGCCCTCATCCTCACCTCACCACTGTTGGCAATCCCCTCACCCTATTGCTGTCGCCGCCAACGTCACTTGAGGATGGTTTAATCCAGGAGTAATATGGATCAACTGCCGGCTGATACGTTTGGCTGCGCGGGCTGATGATCTCCCTCGTTCGGTGTCGCTCCTGGTCTATCACAGATTGTATGGCCTTCAAGTTATCCGCTGCTAGTTTCGTCAGTTACACGAGCATTGAAGGAGCATTAGGGCGTCTGGGGGGTGCTTCCCCACCAGGTGTTGTCAGGTGGGTTTCCCCACTTTTTCTTTCTGCATTGGAGATATAACTTGATTGCTTTTAGCAGACTCAGAAACCTTCCTTTGTTCATTCCTCGGCGCTGAGGGTGTCCATCCGCTTTGTGTCGACGTCCATGACATCAGTGCCGTGCTGACATCGCAGTTGTGATCGTCCGAGCGTCGGATGCCAGCGTCTCGTGGCCTCCGCTTCCCTATCCATCACCGAGGGATGTTGCCGAGCCACTGCTGAGCAAAATTTTCTCGTCTCTGCCGCCACTGCTGCCTTAGCAAAGAGTCAGCGTTCATTATTTTGGGGATTTTTGGCTGCCATTCACCTCTCTGAGCCACCGCACCGCCTCAGCAGGACAATAAATCAACTGTATCCACTGGAGAGGATATCCGGGTTGCGTAGTCCGTGACGGGAAGCCATCCTTATGAGACATTTTCGTTCTCTAGCGCGAGACCTTTTTTTTTTTTCATCTCGGGAAGATTATTTCCGATGACTGATGGCTTATGATCATTATTTAAATAAATAGGTGTGAATAATAATAAAGATAAACAAATTAAATATAAATAATACATTTGAGGCTTATTCAGGAAACCTAGTTTCTGACACGTTCGAACTTATGTTTTTTTATACCACGTGACGAATCCTGACCCTCGTACTCAGTGTTGTACAAGTCAGGCTGACCCGGGGTCAGAGAGGTCACGTCAGAGAGGTCACGTCGCGTCGGTTGACTTAGTCAAGGGTCAAATGAGGGTCATACCTATTTAGGATGTGATCGTGATGCGATTAGATCACTGTATCACAATCGATCGCCGTGCACAAACCACGTTGAAACATTGTGTACAGGAAATCAATCCTTCTGTTTGCCTCTCATTCTCCCTTTCCGAATCTCCATAATGTCCACAAAACACTGGTTGTGGATTTTTTTCATTACTGATGGCCTTTTGTTCCATAACAACAACTCTTTTTTATTTATTTAAGAATGCATGGTGCATCGCATGCCTCAGTTATCAGCAGGACCACCTATGACAAGCCGACATTATTGGTGCAGCAATTAGTGGCACTAGTGGTGGTCACACAGAGGCACAGCAAGAGGAACAAGGTTGCTATATAATTTTTGGTACCTGAAGCCATTATACATTGTATTATGTAGCACACATACTGTGTCAACCAATCTCAGGAAAACTGGGTCAGTCAATGGTCCCGCATCTAAGCAAATGCAGTTTTGTTGCACCAGACATCAGAATTCGTGCCCTGGAAGAAATCTATGAGAAGAAACCCCACCGCGAAAATCCTCCCACCCCTTGCGTGATCCCCAATATGGACGTTTCCCACGGACCCTTGACCCTATGACCCGGGTCAATCAAAGTCACGCCACTCGACGGTGGGTCAGGGTCTGACCTCGTCAGACCCGAGTCATGACAACGCTGCTCGTACTTGTCTCATTCCATTCCATAAATCTCCAGTGTCTGACGCAGCCATCCACGTAGAGTTAGACCCGAGAGGGGGGTAGATCCAAGTATGTTATCCTTTACTTCATGTTCATGGTGCTCAGGCCGAGATCTTGATGTCGCACAGGCAGCACAACCTCAACCATCACAGGAACAGCCAACTGGCAACTTTTCTGATGGATCAGGACCCTTTTCAACATGTACATAAAGATGGAAGCGGAAGAAGACAACGAAATGACCGATCGTTAGCAAAAGGATGCAGACGGTATCCTCATTTCGTCAGTCCTCAATTCGGTTTTCCCAAGCACTGAACGCAATGACAAATGTGAACATTGCAGACTGGTTTATTCTCTGCCGCGGTTTCAGTTTTGGCCTCAGAGTCGATCCAGGATTTGAGGCCAAATCCGCAGGATACCTCCGTATTCTACCTCAAAAAATATCTATCAACTTCTCGCGAACGTATCTCGTGCAGCAATCCTTGTCACTCCAGCTGAACCATCCCCATTCTCTATGTGCACTGCACAGGAACCATAGTGAGTTGACCCAGACTGGCAGTCTGGTCGACACACTATGGTTCCTGAGCCTGTTCATGAGTCTCACATGTGCTCATCTGGCGACATTGTTACAGCAATGGACACGCCAATATCTCATGGTCACTCAACCACCGCGGACAGTCCACACAAGCGAGCACGGATCCGCGCATCGTCGCAAATGGTGTAGAAAGTTTCATCTCCCTCGGGCGGTCGAGACGTTGCCGGCATTGCTACACCTTTCACTTTTCGTCTTTTTCGGCCTCCTGATTTTCTTGTCCAATATCAACCACACGCCATTCACTGTCGTTGCCTGTTGGGTTGGGCTTTCGGCAGGAATATATGGATGTATCACATTCAGTCATCCCGAACCTCGTAGAGACAGTGGGGTGAATATTTGGCCAGTAGAAAAGCAACGGCGACTGAGATAAACATAGGCAAAATCATGTCCTTCAGGAGCTTTTGAGCGCGTTTGGCGTTAGAGCTAAGGTTTTCATGATTCCTAACTCGGGTCGACGCCTGGGTCTACAACCTGGGCGCATGTAGATTCTTTACCGATCATCACGGGAGGAATGAAAAGGTACCCCACATCCTCAGGATCAACAATCGTCAGTGAATCTGCCCCCACAAGGCCCTTTCAACTCTGTCCTCGTCCTCGAGAGCTCTGCCGAGGTCATCGGCTGTCTGCAAAGCTATCAGTTCACATTAAATGCTGTGCGTGAGAACAGCCTTAACTCTAGTGCTGCCTTCGCAGCCCTGTTGTACTCCTTAGCCTATAGGTATCTCCTGAAGCCTCTCTTCTATTCGAGGCATTCCTTAGTCTCCCTCGCACCGACTAGGTCGAGTATGATAAAGTTCAAGAAGGTACCACTTACAGCATAATTCTGTCCCTCACTCTCCATGTCGCAAGCGCTGATCATGTACTCACGTTCTCTGGCTGAACTGAGGGCTTTGATCAAGTCTTCGACCACTCCGTTTCTCCAGGCTGGACGGCAAACGATCGTTTATGAATTGCGACAATTTCCACGTCAAAACACTCAACACGTCGAGTGTAAGGTCAGTAGAAGCAGATTCGGAGCCCGACATAAAGCTAGAGAAAGTAGGAGCTGCGATCACAGGGTTGTGGATAAAAAGGTGGCTCAGTGGCGACTCGCGCGACATGATGCATGATGCGTGAGGACCAGCATCAGCGCAGCGCTGTCAGTGGTCAGTCTGTGGTCACATGACTCACATGTACGCCAAGTCACCTAAAAACAATCTCATTATCGAAATTTCTATTTTAATACTGTACCAATCTTCAGGTCTTCATATTTGTGCGAAATTGTGTATTTGTTCCAATCTTGGTGTCGTTTTAGATTAGCGGGGAAAAACTGTCATTTATGATTTGTCCTCACCGCTAGGATTGTTTGGGTCTAGTGCCTCGTGTTGGTCTAGGGCTTGCCTCACCTTCTCAGCATGGCAGGTTGTCGCCATCAAGCTCCTGACACACTTACTCTGTAACTTCGTCGATATCTCAAGTTACTCACAAAGTCATGGACGCACAGGGTATACCTGAGGAGAGGGTGGACACAAGTATGTTTTCCCTCACCCCAGTTTATCGCGTGAAATTTATCCTTGCATACAGGTGGAATCCACCAAGTTGATCAGCTAGCGCATATACAACCGTCAGAAGCGCACTATGGTGTCGGTGATAGCTCTGGGCCTCTCTTTACGATGTATGTCAAGATGGCAGAGGAAACAGACAACAAAATGACCAAACGGTGGCAAAAGGACGCTGACGGTATACTCATTTTTGTGAGTCGTTAGGAGTCTTTACTTCACAGTCCAGCGACCAACGTGATCGTTGTAGACTGGTTTATTTTCTGCTACCGTCGCAGTATTGGTCGCGGTATCAATCCAGGACCTCAGGCCAAACCCGCAAGACACCACCGCATTCTATCTTGGAAACATCTATCAGCTCCTAGCAGACCCAAACGTATCCCGTGCATCAATCCTTGCCACCCCTGCTCAACCACCTCCGTTCACTCCTCCAAAATATGCAATCTGGGTCAACTCTCTGTGGTTTTTGAGCCTGGTCATCGGTCTGACATGTGCCCTGCTGGCGACGTTGTTACAGCAATGGGCGCGTCGGCACCTCACGGTCACCCAGCTACCACGATACAGTCCACACAAGCGGGCCCGGATTCGTGCCTTCTTTTCCGACGGCGTCGATCAGTTGTATCTCCCATTGGCGGTTGAGGCATTGCCCACCTTAATACACCTTTCCCTCTTCCTCTTCTTTTCAGGACTCCTTGTATATCTGTTCAACATCAACCACACCGTCTTCAATGTTGTGAGTTGGTGGGTCGGGCTTTCGGCAGGGGTATATGCATGCGTCACATTCATGCCAATATTCCGGAACGACAGCCCCTATTATGCACCACTTTCGTCGCTAGTGTGGTGCATTTATACTGGCATATTGTATGCCTTCTTCCAAATCCTCTGGTTTCTCAGGAGGCGCCTTGTTCGCTTGTTTCACAGGCAAACCTTGATGTCCTTCGATGTCTGGAGAAGAACATATCGCGAGCGACTCTTGCGGGGTATTGTCAAGACAGCGCAGGACACAGCTACGAAGTTATCAGGGG